GGGGGGGGAGGGAAAGAAACTGATTTAGAAATCTGCGAAAAAAACAAATTAATTTGGAAATCTGCGAAAAAAAAAGAAATTAATTTAGAAATCTGAGAAAAAAAATTAATTTAGAAATGCGAGGAAAAAGAAGTTAGTTCAGAAATCTGAGAAAAAAGAAATTAGTTTAGAAATCTGAGAAAAAAGAAGCTGATTTTAGAAATGTGAGAAAAAAAAAGAAATTAATTTTAGGCGATGAAGAAAAAACTGTTCACGCAGTCTGTGACAGGCAGTGATAACGCGCTGACCAGCTGGATGATTGGACGAGTGAAGCAGCTGAACGCACAAGTGGATGCCGATGTTTTTGCTGCTTTCATCGAGGGAGTTGACAATCCCAATGAAGTAAAACTTTCGAGCTAGCCCCCAGTAGGCTACGAGTTTTTTGTCCCCCACGCCTCTGCACTATGACAGGTGCTTCTTGACTGTTGCATTATGAACTATGACATGTTCAGACCCTATATAAGGAAAAGTGTGTTTTTGCTTTGGGACTTTTTGTCTGAGTTTTTCCTCATTGGGTTCTTTTCCCCGCCCCTTCCGATCCCCCACCCCCTCCCCCATCTCTCCCTCTCGCCGGGAGATTGAATTGGATCTCCAAATTGTTTTTTGAGGGTAAATTGCTAACTCGGGAACTTGGAAAGCTAGAATTTCGAGGGGATGTTTCGGTTTTGCGTTTCAATCCCGCAAACAGTTCCGAAGAATTTAACAGTATCGCTTTTTTGGTTAAATTTTGCTTCCTTTTTACTGGATACTACACTTTTTTGCATCGATTTTACCCTTCTTTTTTTGGGTAAATATTTCGTTTTCTCATTTTTAATGTAGAAATCTTTGATGTAAAAATCTCTTAACAGACATCTTTGAAAAAAAAGTAACCCCGCGGAACGCTTCGATTCCGTAGAAATTGGTAATTTTACATTTTTGCGGTATTTTGTAAGCACTCTCTCGGTGTTTTTAAAATTAAAGGTGGAAGATTATATTATTGGCTATCTGGGCGAGAGCCGTTCCGTGAAAGAACTCATACGAGAGTTCTTGGAGAGGCGTTCGCAGGCACGTCAGAAAAAAGGACCTGTTGACAAGGATGTGAGTTGATTTTCGCAGATTTTTCTTTTTTTTTTAATTTTTTTTTTTTTGAAAATGTATACTTCGCACGGATACGCAGCTGGGATGGTATTGGTTGGAATGTAGGTGATTATTAAAGTGGCAAATTTCGAAAAAATGGTGCTTATCAAAGAGATGATGGGCAGAAATTGGAAGGAATGCAGAGATCTGGGTCGGAAGACTTGGCATGGTTGCTTTTGCTTCCAACGTGTGGTTGCACTCTACCCAGTAGTAGCCCAACAGTATTAGTAAACTGAGTTTTTCATTAGATTACTTAAATGATAGGTTTTTTTTATGCCGATATTTTGCCAATACCGTTTTTTGCATAAGCCGATTCTAGAAACCAGGGAATGGAGGGGAAGACCACGAAAACAAGAAGTGAAAGAGATAGTGGAGAGCATATGTTATAAAAAAATGTTCAGGAGATATAATGAGGACCGGTAGGAAGGCTAAATGTAAACTTGGCTGTCTGTGTTTCATCCCTAAGCTGCAAACACAGATAGTATTCGGTGTGGATTGGGGTGGGAATCGTCAGTAAAGCCGAAAGGCAAAGGTGTGATAGATTATAGCATGAAAGAACTGTATGAGAAAAGAAGGTAAGAGTGAGATAAGACATTTCGATCCATTAAGTCATATATTTTTGAAAAAAAATGTTAAGGAGATGTAAAGAGGACCTGTAGGAAGGCTAAATGTAAACTTGGCTGTCTGTGTTTCATCCCTAAGCTGCAAATACAGATAGTATTCGGTGTGGATTGGAGTTGGAATCGTCGGTGAAGCCGAAATGGCAAAAGCGCGATAGGTTATAGCATGAAAGAGCAGTATGAGAAAAGAAAGTAAGAGTGAGATAAGACGTTTCGATCCATTGTTATATATGTCTAAACCGTACCCCAATGATTTAATATACTAAATTAATGCCCCCCC